TGAAGATTTAGAAGGATCGATTAAAGAATATGTCTTTAATTATTATTGCGGGCTAAGTAATTTAGAAGGAGCCGGAGATTTAGCCGAATATTGAGATGACATTGAAGAACAGCTGGTTACTCGTGGCAAAATAGCCCTGGTAGAATATCAAGAAAGGAAATTTTTAGCTGAAGTTAAAGAAGAGGACAGCAATTTATTAAACAAGTACGACCAAGTAACCCTTACCTTATTAGATAATAAAAAAATAGAACTCAAAAGTAATAAAGAAACCTATCCTTATAAATACGTAGTTTTTGAAAATAATAAAGATAATAAGGCTTATATGTTAAGAATTAATTATTTTATTCAACAAATGGTCAGCGAAGTAGAAAAAATGGCTCGCGATGCTTTTTTATGCGAAAGAAAATTAATCTTTATTGTGCCCGAGCAACCTGATGAAGAAGACGCAGAATACTTAATTAAAATGTGAAAAAAAGGCATCTTTTTCTTTATTGCTTTTGAAAAAAGTAGAAGACCAGGAAAATTGGGCGGAGGAGAAGGTAAGCAAGGAATTCATCCCAGCCAAGTAAATTTCCAAACTTATGAGCCCAAATTAGACATGGTGCAATGATATATTCGCAATTATAAATTTTGAGCTGCTGAAATGGAGAAGTATCTAGGAATCAGACATGATCCATTGGTTCAAAAACAAGAGCGAGCCAGCATAGCCGAAGTAAACGCCTCCACTTCTTCTTTTGATGCATTTGAAAGGAGAGGATTTAGAAGCCGAGTTAAAGGAATTAAAGAATATATCAAAGTTTTTGAGAATAGTAAAGGAACCTGTAATTTTATTTATGGCAAACACAAATTTAATTTAAGTTAAAACAGCAAATATGGAAGTATACGAAGTTAACCCTATAAGACATCAGTGAGGCGAATTTGATTGTGATAGTTGTGGTTATAGCACTATAGAAACAAAACAAGAAAGCAAATGGAATGGAGAAATGCGAGATGGCTATCGAATAGTTCCGAAAAAAATATTAGGTAATACTGGCAATCGTAAAGGGAGAGATGCTGTTGCTCGGGCAGAAGTAGAATATTGCGAGAATCGCTGACCTCTTTATAAAGATAATTATCCAACTAGCGAGGAATCAGAAAACTAATTTGTTTGTTAAAAAATACTTTGATAGAAAGCAAAAAAAAACAATTAAAATATGAACGAACAAGGAATTGAAGTAATTTACGGCAGTGCTGGCAATCAAATAGGAACTTTTTATAAATGTTCTTGCTGTAAATATTATTTAGATAAAGAAGGAATTAAAAGACACCAGGAATCAGTAGAAAGTTTAAAAAATCCAGGAATATTTAATCATTTTAAGCAAGTAAATCCAGCTAAAGAGATCCACCTTCATCCTTTTTTATGAAATATTAT